TTGCAAGCTCACCCGCGCCCTCCCGCCCGCGGGTGAGCTTGCAGCTCCCGGCTCGTGTGGACCGCCCCCACTCCCGCCGGGTCCCTCCCGAGGCCGCCGCCCCCAACCCCCGCCCCAGCGTCGCCAGGACTCCCGGGCTCCGGTTGTTATGGCGACAGCTGCGCCGGTGAATGAGCGTCTTAGTGACACGCGCGCACCCGCGCTGCCAGATGTGGCCCCGGGGCGCGCCGCGTTCCCGCTGGCCACAAGTTCTGGACGACACCGGGTGGGGAGGGGGGTAGGGAGCCGACGCAGCACCACTCGGGACGTGACATCAGGAATAGATGCGGGTTCCAGAGGTTGAGCGTTTTCCTGCCCTGGGACATAGAACCTGAAAACAAGCGGAACAGGACCTCCATAACGCTGGGTGTACGATGCCAGGGAGTGGCGAAGTAGCACTAATAGAGGCTCCCTAGCGCCGGGTCCAGGGCCTGGCACAGGTTAGTTAAGTCGCTCAGAAGAGAGTGGATGATAGAACAAGACAATTGAAATTAAGAATACAGGTACTTCCCCCTCGCTCATTAAGAGGTCCCAACCAGAACCTCAGTCAGACCCAGTTCCTGACTTTGGGATTTGCATGCTCAAGACCAGAGAACCACAAGACCAGAACCAAACTTAGGTACAAACTATGAGAGAGCTATTGGTTCCAAGTTGACCGATTCTGTCAGCTGGAAAACTGAGAGGCTGGGGGAGGAGGAGTAAGGCCTATGGTAGTCCAGGTGGCTTCCTGGAAGAAGGGAGCTTCTGTAAATGTCCTCTTCATGTGACTCTTCCATCAGTGTAGCTCAGCGCTGCAACCTGCAGGAGGGAACCAGGAAGTCATTCTCCCACTCGGATCTGGGGCATTTCTTTCCCCAAGTTTGTGGGGGGGGGGGGATGGTCTATCCTACCCCACCTCCACCAGCCTTCTTGCTTCTTTAAGTCATCCCTCACTCTCTAATCTGACTCCAGCCACTCTGACCCAGAGTCCTGAAAGGCATAAATAGAGGCAGACGCATCTCATCCATGCTCTTCTGGAAGTTTCTTCCTACAAGTCTCCATAGAATCCGTCCTCACTATGTAAGCATAGCTCGTGCCCTGCTTTTCCCTGACCGTCCCGACTAAGCATCCCCTGACATTTTCCATGTGGTGATCCCATTCCTTTCATGGCTTTTAAAAGTCGCCTTTTCTGCTTGGTTAGATTCTCGCTCTCCCATGATAGCATAAGCTTGCTGAGGGGAGAGTTCCTCAGCCATGTCCCCCGTGGGGTCATAGCCCCTAGCAGGTACATGACGGAGTCTCCAGAGTATCTGTACAATGCTTGGAGCTCTCTGCCTGTCAGCAGGAAGACCCTACTGTGAACCTTGGAGATAAAGTCTCTGAGTCACCCTGTAGTCCCCTGTCCTGCCGTTTGCTTCTGTCTCATTCCAGGCATTACATCCTTAGATTTCAGAGACTCCAAGCAAGTTAGAAATACCTGTGAGAGGTACATCCTGGTGTTAGAGGAGAAAGACAATCAGAGCCTTAGCCCCAGCCACCAGCCTTGGGGATGCCTGGCGCCATGTGCTTGCCAGCTGCAGATTGGTCAGGGACTGGTGTCTGATTTATGGGTAGTGTCTTCCCGACATTTACCCCCAACTGCTGACTCATGCATCAGAAATCTAGGGCTCTTTTTTTTCTTTCTTTCTTTCTTTTTGTTTGTTTTTTGTTTTGTTTTGTTTTTGGTTTTTTTTTTGGTTTTACAAGACAGGGTTTTTCTGTGTAGCTTTGAAGCCTGTCCTGGAACTCACTCTGTAGACCAGGCTGGCCTCAAACTCACAGAGATCAGAGCCTGCCTCTGCCTCCCGAGTTCTGGGTTTAAAGGTGTGCACCTCCATCACCTGATTTGGGCTCTTAACAGCTACACACATTAACATACATGCCTCTGCGCTACACAAATGAACTTACCATGCAGTGTGCGGTATGTACTCGGTTCTGTACACACACACACACACACACACACACAGAGAGAGAGAGAGAGAGAGAGAGAGAGAGAGAGAGAGAGAGAGAGA